CTTTGCTGCAATTAGCGGGGAACTGGATTGAAAGTGGGGCAGTAAGGAAATGCCTAAATAGGATGCTGGCATTGCAGGCAGCAGCTTAACCCTCTATGGCACAACAGCAGCCCTGTGCGGGTTAATTTTTAAGTTAGTAATTTTGTATGGCCTGCCAGTGATATTATAAGAATTCAAATGGCTGTTAACAAAAGAAAAAGTTCCCCTCCTGACTTAAAACTAAAAGAAGGAAAGAAAGAGAAATGTATAAGAGTGTCAGGTATGAAGTTTGCTATATTAAGATTTATTTTTATTTATTTAAAAGAGTTACAGTGAGAGAGAGAGGTCTTTCATCCACTGGTTCACTACCCAGATGGCTGCAACGGCTGGAGCTGAGCTTATCCGAAGCCAGGAGCCAGGAGCTTCCCCGGGTGCTTTCCCAGGCATATTTGCAGGGAGCTGGATCAGAAGTGGAGCAGCCTGGACTCAAACTGACACCAGTGTGGGATGCTGGAGTTTTAACCCGCAGCACCACTGCGCTGGCCTCTGTTTTATAACTTTTTTATGATTAGAATAAGGAGTGAGGGGCCGGTGCCGTGCTCACTTGGTGTTAATCCTCCGCCTTGCGGCACCGGCATCCCATATGGGTGCCAGGTTCTAGTCCCGGTTGCTCCTCTTCCATTCCAGCTTTCTGTTGTGGCCCAGGAAGGCAGTGAAGGATGGCCCAAGTGCTTGGGCCCTGCACCCGCATGGGAGACCAGGAGGAAGCACCTGGCTCCTGGCTTCGAATCGGCGCAGCACCGGCAGTGGTGGCCATTTGGGGAGTGAACCCACAGAAGGAAGACCTTTTCTGTCTCTCTCTCTCTCACTGTCTATACCTTTACCTGTCAAATTAAAAAAAAAAAAAAATAAGGAGTGAAATCAGGGAGTAGATATAGTTAATTGAAGGTATTAAATAAATTTCAGCTAATTGAAAATAGTTAGACATGAACTTATTTTGTTTTGGGGACAGTGCTCAACACTACAAATAGGTAAGAAAGCAGCCTCCCAGTTCCACAGAATTCCTACCTTGGTTGGTAGAAAGATAGGTTAAAAATGGCCAAAATCAATTAGTATATTGAAAGATGGATGTATATGTACACTAAGGTTAATAATCATTCATGCATCATACATTTTTGAGCAACTACTGTGTATTCGGCCCAGCACTGGCAGTGGAGTTACAACAATAAACAGAAAGATTTGCTGCCTGCATTGAAAGACCTTACAGACATGTTGTAAGGAAACTTTATTTTTTCTCTAATCCTGTAGTTTTTGAAATGAAGTAACTAGGACAAGTTAGAAAACAACAGGAATTAATTGACTCTCAATATTGGAGGAACTTAAATCAGGATGTTACTTGTGTAAAAATCAATATTCTCATTTAGAATTGTTTTAAAATTCATTCGTTTATTCAACAGCAGTATCACAAGGGCTTGGTATACACTGGATGCTGTACAGGCTATTGTTTGGCTCCTAACAGTACCCTCATGCTGTAAAAATGAGATCATATAGCAGGCAAAAGAACAGTCTAAGACATTCCCCTACTGTCTGTAAACACAAAACATGAAGCAGAACTCACCCTCTCACTACGGTCTTGCCTTACCTGTTTTCTACTCATTCCACTCCTACGCTGTGAGCTTGAAAGTCTCTTCTAGAGCCTGGTGTTGTGATGCAGTAGATTAAGCTACTGCTTGCAATGCCAGCATCCCATATCGGAGTGCTGGTTCAACCACTTTCAATCTAGCTCCCTGTTAATGTGCCTTGGAAAGAGCGGAGCATGACCTAAGTGCCTGGACCCCTGCCGCTTACGTGGGAGAGTCGGATGGAGTTCCAGGCTCTTGGCTTCAGCCTGGCCTAGCCCTGGCTGTTACGACCATTTGGGGAGTCAACCAGCAGATAGGAAATTCTCTCCCGACCATTTGGGGTGTCAACCAGCAGACAAAATTCTATCCCCTCCCCTCCCTTCTCCTCCCCTCTCCTCCCCTCTCCTCCCCTCTCCTCTCTCTGCCTTTCAAATAAATAAAAATCTTCTAAAAAGTTAAATAATCCCATTTCTTAAGCAGTAAATTTAAGTTATTTTTTTAATTTAAATTTATTATTTTCATTTTATATGGAACACAGAGATAGACAGATGTAGACAGATATTTTCCATTTGCTGGTTCACTTACCAAATGCCTGCAGCAGCCATGGCTGGGCCAGGCCAAAGCCAGGAGCCAGAACTCCTTCTAGATCTCTCACATTGGTAGCAGGAACCCAAGTACATGGGCCATCATCAGCTGCCTCACAGGATGTGCATTATCAAGAAAGTAGATTGGAAGGAAGTAGAGTAGTTAGAACTCAAACCAGGAGCTCCAGTATGGGATATAGGCATCCTAAGCAGCAACTTGAGCCACTGCACCAAATGCTTGCCCCTGCTATTCTCGTGATCTACAGAAAAGGCTGAAATTTTGATTACTCCTTTCATTTTTTTAAAGTGTGTTTATTTTTACTTGAAAGAGAGAAATGTTCCATCCACTGCTTTATTCCTCAAATGTCCACAACAGTCCAGGTCTCCCATTATCTGTCAGCTCCTCCCAGGTACATTAGCCAGGAACCTGGATTTGAAGTGAAAGTAGGACTCAATCCAAAGGATTCCTATATGGGATGTGGGTATCCCAAATAGTAGCTTAATCCTCTGTGCCACAATGCCCACCTTGTTCCCATCATTATTGGGAGAACTCTTCTAAGCTTGTGAGAGATTTCTTTTCTTTCTTTCTTTTTTTTTTTAAGGCAGCGATTAGGTAAGAAGTTGCTTTTGAAAGTTTAAAATTCAGATCCTCAACCACAAAGTAAATATTTATGGAAGAAACATACAGGTTTGGGAGGTAGGTGATGATGAGACAGTTAATGGAGAACTGAAGCCAGTAATTATTTGGGACAATCAACAAGGCTGCCTGTTGGTGTTCTGTAGTGAGCTATGGTTACAGCTATGGTTATGAAAATGCAGTTATTAAAGCCCTGTTTAGAAATAATAATTGAAAATAAGAGTTCAGATGCTTGTGGCTCTTTATGCGAATGAGAGATACTTGTGGCTCGGCAGTAATGGCTTGATTGGGGTGGGCATTGTGGTATAGTGGGTTAAGCTGTCTCTCGGGATGCCTGCATCCCATATCAGAGTTCCAGTTTGAGGTCTGGGTACTTGAGTACGCAGCTTTTTGCCAGTGCACCTGGGAAGGCAATGGATGATGACCTAAGTACTTGGGCCCCTGCCACCCATGTGGGCTACCCAGATGGAGTTCCTAACTCTTGACTTTGGCCTGGTGCAGCCCTAGCCATTGGGGCCATTGGCCATTTGGGAAGTAAACTAGCAAGTGGAAGATATCTCTTTCTCTCTCTGCCTTTAAATAAATAAATAAAAAATAAATATTTTAAAACAAAATTGGACAAGATTTAGAGGTGTCCAAAGACAGGAAAAATGAGTAGCAATCTCATAAAATTCTTTTCTCAGCTGTATAGCAGTTGCTAAAGGATCTAACTCCCTGCCTATTCTAATCAGGTGCTGAAAGGAAAGAATCAACTGAAGAAACTGATGAGTATTTACCAAATAAACAAACTCAAGAAAAATCACTGATGTTAATTGTTGACCAACATAGACTTGAGTTGGAAATTTCCCAATTCAGTTTTTAAAACAGATGTACTTTAAATAGATGAGTTATATGGCATGCAAATTAAACCTCAGTAATCTGTTCATTAAAAAACATAAATATTGGGCCATCATTGTGGCGAAGTCGGTTAAGCCTCTACCTGCGCCTCTGGCATCCCATATGGGCACTGGTTCAAGTCTCGGTTGCTCCACTTCCAATCCAACTCCCTGCTAATGGCCTGAGAAAGCAGAGGAGGATGGCCCAAGTGTTTGGGCTCCTGCATCATGTGGGAGACCCAGATGAAGCTCCTGGCTTCTGGCTTCACATTGGCCCAGCTCTGGGCGTGTGGCCATTTGAGGAGTGAACCAAAGGGTAGAAGACTCTCACTCTCTCTCTCTTCCTCTCTCCCTCTCTCCCTCTCTCCCTCTCTCCCTTTCTCTGCTTGTAGCTCTGCCTCTCAATAAATGAACAGGTCTTTTTTATTTTTTATTTATTGATTTATTTTTGAATATTATTTGAAAGGCAGAGTTATAGAGAGGCAGGGAGGGGGGGTAGGTCTTATATCCACTGGTTCACTCCCCACATGGCTGCAGTGGCCCAGTTCAGGCCAGGAACAAATCTGAAGCCAGAAGCCAGGAACTTCTTTGGGTCTCCCACATGGTGCAGGAGCCCAAGCACTTGGGTCATCCTCCAGTGCTTTCCCAGGCCATTAGCAGAGAGCTGGATTAGAAGTGAAGCAGCCGGGACTTGAACCAGCGCTCATATGGGATGCTGGCACTGCAGGCAGCAGCTTTATCTGCTACGCCACAGTGCTGGCCCTGAACAGGTCTTTAAAAACAAACAAAAAACAAACAAAAAGCCAAAACCTAAATATGACCTTGTGGGTAAATTTTGCCACAAAAAGGGGGCATGTATATTCTACTCAGATAATGAAGAACATTAACTATGGGAAACAGAAGAAACTTTTAAGGTGTTCAAGGTGTAAAGAATAAGGCTTCCTAGCAAAAAAACTTGTGGCTAGATTAAAAAATCACTACACATTTGGCTGGTATTGTGGCACAGTCAAGCTGCCACTTGTGACACTGGCATCCCATATCAGAGTGCTGGTTTGAGTTTCAGCTGCTCTGCTTCAGATCCAGTTCCCTGATGATGCACCTGGGAAGCGGTGGCTGTTGCCCAAGGACTTGAGTTGCTGCCACACACATGGGAGACCAGGTGGAATTCTTGGTTCCTGGTTTCATCCTGGCTCAGCCCTGGCTGTCAGCCATTTGGTGCTCTCTGTTGCTCTGCCTTTCAAATAAAAAGTATTCTTAAAAAAATAAATAAATAACCACACCCATTTGTTTTTTGTTATTTTAGGAGGACAGTTGTGAGACCAGTGCACTTTTGACTCAATGGGGATAAATGGGTAAGTGTGTGGGCAAGCAGGGTCCTTTGGTGAGTGTGGCAGAAAGCAGAACAGACTCAGGCTTTAGACTTCTGACTGGGTTTGTGCGACCCAGTCTGTGAATATCTCTGAACCCGAGTGTCCTCTATGAAAAGAAATAATTGCCTTTACTAAGGCAGGTAAGTCTGGTTTGACTCCACTGAATAGGTCACATAGCACTCAGAGTCAATCATTTCAAAAAGATAAATGCCTTTTATAAACCTAAATCTCTTTAAATATAAATCTCATCCCCCTGCTTAAATGGCTTCTCATTGCAACATGAGAGACCTGTAAAATCCTGAATAATGGACTCTGCTGCCGTTTCACCTTGCTCATTGTAATCCCCCACCTGGCTTGTCTTCTTTCACCAAAAAGCCTTCCTTGTAGGTTGCTGTTTCCTCTGTCTGGAGGCTCTGTCCCTAGCGCTTGGTGAGGTTGGCTCCTCAACCTTGAGGACACTGTTTAAATGTGCTTTCTAATAAAGACCTTGTCACCTTCTTTCTGAAATTCTCCCTTTTGATCTCCCACAATTCTTATTTCTGCAGATCTTTGTTTGATTTGTATCATAATCCCAGTTCATAGTTCTTTTTATTCATGTTTGCTTGGGAAGTCCCCTCTAGACTCTGAGCAGAGGAACTGCAAGAGAGTACTTCAGAAGGCTTATGGAAAATTGAACTATTAAAGATAAGTATATTTTGTGCAAAAACATGGAAATCCATGCATAATTTTTCATAATGCACATTTTCCATGAACTTTTTCAAGACCCTGCACATCCATCAATTTCAGATTTTTTTAACACCAATATCAGTATCTTTTAATTCCATTTTCCATAGACTTTCTGAATCCCCCCCCTCCATGTATATTCAATGTTCTGTTACATCACCAGTGAATATTTCAATCTTATACACATAGGCACTTACTAAAGATTTTGTGGATTGAATTAAGATCACTTTGAAGAAATATGGGTGCTTGTGCTTTTTTAAAGATTTATTTTATTTATTTGAAAGACAGTTACCAAGAGAGGTAACTACAGAGAGGTAGAAACAGAGAAAGAGGTCTCCATCCACTGGTTCACTCCCCAGATGGCAGCAACAGGTGGAGGTGCACTGATCCAAAGCCAGGAGCTTTTTCTGGGTCTCCCATGTGGGTGCAGGGGCCCAAGGACTTGGGCCATCTTCTACTGCTTTCCCAGGCCATAGCAGAGAGCTGGATTGGAAGAGGAGCAGCTGGGACTCAAACCGGTGCCTATATGGGATGCCAGTGCTTCAGGTCAGGGTGTTAACCCACTGTGCCACAGCCCCAGCCCCATCTTACCTTTTTTTTTTTTTTAAGATTTATTTATCATTTGAATGGGAAATTATATGATATGATATGATATGATATGATATGATATGATATCATGTCATATCAATATGATATATCTATGATATTATATGGGGGGTGGGTAGCAAGCAGGTGGGCTATTTCCATCTACTTGTTTACTCCACAATTGGTGGCAGTGCAGGGGCAGATGCAGACCATAGCCAGGAGTGTGAACCCCATCTGGGTTTCTCATATGGGTGGAAATGTCCCAAGGACTTAGGCCATCCTCCGCTGCTTTCCAGGTACATTAGCAGGGATCTAGAAGGGAATTGGAGTGGAGCAGCCAGGATGTGAATTTGTGCCCTTATGGGATGCCAGCATTGCAGATGGCAGCTGCACCTCTATGCCTCAATACTGGCCTCTTGGCAGACTTTTCTTCCTTTCCTTTCCTTTCCTTTCCTTTCCTTTCCTTTCCTTTCCTTTCCTTTCCTTTCCTTTCCTTTTTCCTTTCCTTTTTCCTTTCCTTTTTCCTTTCCTTTTCCTTCCTTTCCTTTTTCCTTTCCTTTTTCCTTTCCTTTTTCCTTTCCTTTTTCCTTTCCTTTTTCCTTTCCTTTTTCCTTTCCTTTTTCCTTTCCTTTCCTTTCCTTTCCTTTCCTTTCCTTTCCTTTCCTTTCCTTTCCTTTCCTTTCCTTTCCTTTCCTTTCCTTCTTATAGGCAGAGTGGACAGTGAGAGAGAGAGACAGAGAGAGAAAGGTCTTCCTTTGCCGTTGGTTCACCCTCCAATGGCCGCCGCTGCAGCCGGCGCACCGCGCTGATCCGATGGCAGGAGCCAGGATCCAGGTGCTTTTCCTGGTCTCCCATGGGGTGCAGGGCCCAAGCACCTGGGCCATCCTCCACTGCACTCCCTGGCCATAGCAGAGAGCTGGCCTGGAAGAGGGGCAACCGGGACAGAATCCGGTGCCCCGACCGGGACTAGAACCCGGTGTGCCGGCGCCGCAAGGTGGAGGATTAGCCTATTGAGCCACGGCGCCGGCTGCAGACTTCTTTTTCTTAAAAAAAGATTTATTTATTTATTTATTCATTCATTCAAAAGGCAGAGTGACAGAGAGTCAAAATAAAAGATCTTCAAGGGGCCAGCTCCTTGGCATAGCGGGTAAAGCTGCCACCTGCAGTACTGACATCCCATATAGGCCCTGGTTTGAGTCCCGGCTGCTCCACTTCTGATCCAGCTCTCTGTTATGGCCTGGGATAGCAGTAAGATGGAACAAGTCCTTGGGCCCCTCCACCCGTGTGGAAGACTGGGAAGAAGCTCTTGGCTCCTGGCTTCAGATTGGCGCAGCTCTATCCGCTGTGGCCATTTTGGGAGTAAACCAGCGGATGGGAGACTTTTTCTTTCTGCCTTTTCCCTTGCCTCTCTGTAACTCTTCCTTTCAAATAAATACATAAATCTTTAAAAAAGAAAAAAAGAGATCTTCTATAAACTGGTTCAGTCCTCAACTGGTCATAATGGAGCCAGCAACTCCATTAACTTTCATCCTATGTTGGTGACAGGCCCAAAGCACTTGAGTTATCTTCTGGTGCTTTTCCAGGCACATTAGCAGGGAGCTGGATTGGAAGCAGAGCAGCTAGGACTGGAATGAGCACTCTGATATGGGATGCTGTCGCTCCCCCTCTTCGTGGAGGAACGACACAGGACCCTGCGCTGTTCTTTCTGTCTGCTCGGCCCTCCCCGGGTTTGCTGCTGGTTCTTCCCGGGTTGGCTACTATCCCTTCCACCTCCGTGGAAGGGCAGTTCCCCCTGGCCACATTCCCCACTTCCGCAGGGGAGCGGCACACCGCCGGCCGGGTCTCTCGGGGGCTGCACGGGTGTTCCTTCAGCTAGATGTTCCCCATAGATGTTCCTGGTGCATGCCGTCTCTCTCCTCCTTTATAGTCCTCCTCCGCCAATCCTAACTCGGCTGCCCACACGCCGAGTACGCTGCTCTCCAATCAGGAGCAAGTCCTACAGTTAATTGGTTGAACTGGAGGCAGCTGTGCGGAAGCTGTTTACTTCTCTCCCAGCGCCATATTGTGGGAGAGCAGATGCATAGAATAAGTCTTAATTCGAGTAACTTACCCCAGTCCGGATTGCTCCCCACAGATCCCCCTTTCTTTTTATTTTTGGCGTTGATACGCGCCTGTCTTCGGTGTCCCGCGGCACACACTCTGCTCTACTTGCTAGAGTTGCCACAGGCTCTTACAAGTCCTATCAATCAGGAAAACCAAATCCGGGTCCTCTCTTCGCCATGTTGTGAGGAGGTTTTTAGGCGCTGATGCGTGCCTGTGTTCGGTGCCCTGCAGCGCATGCTCTGCTCTGCCTGCAGGGGACTTACAAGACCTATCAGGCAAACCGAATCCAAGCCTTCTCATTGCCTTATTGTGGGGGAGACTTATTAGTGTTGGTTCGTGCCTATCTTCGGTGACCTGCAGCTCATACTCTGGTCGAGCTGCTTGCTGGCGCTTACCGCCTTAAATCAGGCAGACCGAATCCAAGCTTAATATTGTTGTATTGTGGGGAAGCCTTACTGATGTTAATTCGTGCCTGTCTTCGGTGACCTGCGGCGCATAAGCTGCTAGCTGCCCGCAGGTGCTCATCGCCTCACTTGATTAGGCAGACCGAATCCAAGCCTTCTAATTGGCATGTTGAGGGGAGGCCTTATTTTTCTCTATTTCTCTATCTCCGGGCATTCCTACCTCTCCCATTTCACTTCTATCTTCCAGCATTCCCATTTCTCTTTTACTTCACTTCCAAACTTCTGTTTCTCTTATCCCCGCAGCTTCCCGGCACCTCGCCCCGCCGGCGGGTTCCCGGCTCTGCGCCGCTTCAGCCCGCGCGCCTCTCTCATCTGCGCAGCTTCCCGGCTTTGCGCGGCTCGGCTTCGCGCGCTCCGCGGTCTCCACGCTTAACCCTTTCGCGTCTGAACCACGGCCTACGCCAGCGTTCCCTATCTATTCACGCCCCGTGCTCTCTCTGCACGCGGCGGCTTCCGCGAGTAACACAGCGTAGCTTGCGTCTCCACCACTAGCATTCAATCCAAGTTCCCCAGGCTAGCCTGGCGAATTCAACCCAGCGTACGTCTCCGCCCCACGGTTTGGCTTCCCGTCCTTTGCTCCCCGGGCTAATCAGACGGATCCCAACCAGGCTCACGTTTCAGCTTCTGGTTTCAACTTTTCGCCCCCTATTCCCGGGCTAACTTGAGAACCCCAAAGTGGCTTCCGTTTCCGCCTCGGCCTGCCCCCCGCGGCTTCAATTTCCCTAACATTTTTCTCTACCCGGTATGTTTCCCCAAGCTTTCCTCCAACGATATTCCTCCCTCATTTCTCCTGGCCTCTCCCCACAGTCCGCATCCGAGTCTGTTTGTTCTAGCTTTCACTTTCGCTTTCGACCTTAGAGATTTCTCCCAGCTTCCCCCCGTAGTCCGTATCCGAGTCTATGCCTAGGCTTTCAATAGCTTCTTCCGGCACCCTTTTCGTCCGGCTTTTCCCTAGGCTGTTTGCTAGTCTCTCTCTCCGGTATTTTCCCAGTTCTTCCCGTTTCTTCCCTCCTAAGTTTGCTATCCGTTCTAGGTTTCCTAATCCGAGTCATTTCTTCCCTCCTAAGTTTCATATCCGAGTCACGGCACCATTATGTCGCTCCCCCT